GAAGGCTTCCTCCACCTCCTGCATTTCCCACTCTCCTAGAAGAACCTATAAGGACCTTCATGAGAAACTCTTGAGCAGATGCTCTTCCCCACCTACAAACAACTATATTCTTCAGGACTGGAACCTCAATCACCAGGACCTAAAATGATTTCTTGCACATAGTGGGTGTTTACTTGAAGTAGTCAATGGGGTATGTCTTTGTATAATTGTCAAATTCTTTTATGACTGCAAAGTGACTGGGTCTTGTTGAAACAGCTTTAGACTCAGGGACTCAGGTTTCAGTTTCAGATCTGTTGTCCACTGGCCAAGTGGTGGTGGATGCTTTCCTTAAATGTTCTGAGCCTTACTTTGCTCACTTAAAAAGTGAGGTCAATAACACCTGCCTCACAGTTGTTTTGTTTGTTTTGTGTTTTTTTGCATTAGATTTTTTTTTTCCTTAACAAAAACATGTTCAGAGGAAATAAGGAGCACATTTTGGAAGATACTCCTAGAAACTGTATTTATTTGTGTAAGTTCTAAGACTGGCCCCGGTCTTTAGTTCGTTTGAAGTTTCAAAGAAGAGACTTCAGAGTGGTTGAGTGTTATTCCCAGAGGCTGGGCAGCAGTTAGCAAAATGACCTCGCGGTGTTGGTCTTGCACCGGGCAGAATCAGATCCTGGTTTGTCTGCATGCTGAGTGAGGTCAGTGAAGGGTACATGAGATTTCAGTTCTTTTGTAGCAGGTGTAAAGGTCTCTAAATTCTCATGATGCTTATGTCACCAACCATTTTTGATCTTTAAATTATTAGAATTGACTACAGCTTCTCCCTCTGGTTGCTTTTTCTTATCCAGTTCCCTGTTCAGACTCTTATGGTTCTTTAAAGAAGGATAGCTTTGTAACCCTATGCCAAGTTTGGCCACATGTGTCCTGGACTTTGGCTCCTAAGCCTCTGGCTCTCAGAGGGCCATTCTCCAAAATCTCACTCCTCTAAAGGCACCATGCTGGCACAGGGACTGCCCTTTTCTTTCACTGGGTCACAAGAGATCCTCTAGAAACCCAACCGCATATATTCCCTCACTTCTGGCTTAACAAAGAAAATTCTGGAACAGCAACACACACACACACACACACACACACACACACACACTACATGCTTCACGTTTCTCCCACGTTAGCACCAGATAGTTATTACGAAGGGCCTAGAAGTTGGTAACCTAAAAGCCCTTATCTTGTTCTCTCTTTTCATTCTGGAGGGTTTTGCCCATTTTTTATGGAGTTGTTTTTGTTTCTCATAAATTTGTTTAAGTTCCTTACAGATACAGCACTGTTCACAATAACAAAGACATGGATGGAATTAAGCTAAATGTCCGTCAATGACATACTGAATAAAGAAAAGGTGGTACGTAGACACCATGGAATACTATGTATGCATAAAAAATGAGATCATGTCTTTTTCAGGGACATGGATGGTGCTAGAGGCCTTGATCCTTAGCAAACTAACAGAGGAACAGAAAACCAAATACCACATGTTCTCACTTATAAGTGAGAGCTAAATGATGAGAATATGTAGCTGTTCTGTGTTCACATAGAACACAATGATGGACACATAGGGGGGAACAACATACACTGGGGCCTATTGAAGGGTGGGGAGGTGGGAGGAGAGAGAGGATCTGGAAAAATAACTAATGGATACTAGGCTTAATACCTGGGTAATGAAATAATCTGTACAACTAAGTCCCATGACACAAGTTTACTTTACCTATGTAACAAATCTGTACTTGTATTCCTGAACTTAAAACAAAAGTTTTAAAAAAAGACCTAGACACTTTTCCCTCCCAGTTCCATGAAGTCCCTCAAGGAAGCCTCTTGCTGCAGTACTAAAGACACACACATACAGGAAAGCTCAAGTTAATAGTCATTCGTGCTATGTATCGGTGAACAGCAAGACATGCAATTGACACAGGGAGACAGAAAGTTCAGGTTCATATTTCTAGTTCTTTTTTTTTCCTAGCCAAATTATAATCAGAACCTTGCCTGGTGGGAATAAAATCAGAGCAATGGCTGTTTATTGGATTTGGGAGTATAGTGACATCATGGGACAGTCTGATGTCTCCATCTTCCATTTGGGATGCTTTTGCCAAATGAGAATTAAACAGTGTTATTGCTTTCCTTCCTTAAAGATCTATGATTTCATAAACCTCAATTGGTAAGATCAAAGTCTCAGAATAGAAAGGGTCAGGGGAAAAACAACTTAAAAATTTTACCAAATACGCTTAAAAGACAGAATAGATAAGTATTCTAAAAGTATTCACTTGCTTTACAAGCCAGATTCATGGCTATGAAACCCTGCTCCAATAAATAAGCTTCTCCTGGATGGCTTTCTTCCTTGTTCAGGAAATATTACTGCAGCATTGCAATCTGCCGAGACCAAATATTTCACCAGCTTTATGTTGTGCAGAGTGTACCTCTCTTTCAGCTTTTTAAACCAGCTTTTTCTGGCATGGTATTTGTTGGCTTTTGCGTGCGTGTGTGTGTGTGTGTGTGTGTGTGTGTGTGTGTGTGTGATTTTTTTCATAGATCTCAGAAAAATGTCCAGCTGTTTCACAAGGTGCAAACACATTGCCTGGCTCTGACTCTCTGTTGGATGGATTTTAGATAAGGTGGTTAGGGAAGACTGAATTAAATTTAAACAACGAAATAAGGGAAGGAGTCATTCAAAATTTGGGAAAAGAGAATCCCAGGCCAAGAGACTAGTCATTGTAAAAATGGAAAGGAGGCCAGGACTAGAGTGGAATTGCATGAGTTGGAGAGAGGTGGGCGATAAAACTGTTGGGGCTTAATCACATACGGTTTCATGGGTCATGTGAGGAGTGGTGGCGGGGAGTTGTCATCAAGGTGATAGGCAGCTTGTACAGATTCCAGAGTATTTGATCATTTGCATGACCTTGGAGAGGGCTTGGATCACACCGTACCCAGCAGTTGTGTGGTTCTCTTTTTTATATTTTCATGCTGGTCAGCTTCCTTCGGGCCAAGGTTTTTTTTTTTTTCTAGATACCTTAATGTCTTCATTGAGGTTAGCCTTCATCCTGCTGGCCTGGGGCCCCCTCTTTTTCTGGGAGGTGACTTTGCATATCTCATTCTAACTATACTAATTTTCTAGTTTAACTCTTTGTGGTACAATTTCTTACTTCTTGGAGTGAATATCACTATCACCTTCCTACCCGTGTACCAAAAACATTATTTCATACACACAGTTGCTTTAGGAATCCAGGCCAACAACAGGTTTTTTAAAAATGCTGTTTGGAGTCCAGGTGTGTTGGGAGCTCTAAAAGCAAAAGCCAGACTGAAAACACTCAGCATTCTGAGAGAGAGAGTTAGAAATAAACACTTACGTCATCCCTTTATTCCCCGCATTGATGCAGTCCAGACGGATGATGGCCTAGCATTTTGGATTTGTCTGCTTTCCTCATTAATTCTCCTCTCAATTCTGCTTTTATTATCTACAATGACAATGACACACTATCCCTAGGCTGCTTCTAAAGTCATCTAACTGTCACCAGAGCAGTAAAGACTTGCATCTTTTTGCACAGTAAATAAATTAAAGTGCTTCTGGTATCTGAACGTCTTGATTAAAGCATCATTGTCATTCTTATGATTACTACTATTCTTTGCAAACCTACTGTGTGCAAAGCATAGCTTGTGGCTTTACATAAAATATTTCACTTACTTGTTGCAACAGTGCTTTAAAGCGGAGGGTTATTCGTCTAACACACAGAAGAGGAAAGCAGTCTGAGCATGCTAAAACACATGTCCATAATCAAAGTCTGTTTCTCACCCAGACCTGTACATGCATCCCAAGCTTCACCCACCTGATTCTGTGTGTCTCTTCATTTCCAGACTGTTTTCAACTACTTCCCTTTCAAAGGCTTTTTCTTCTCCCCGAGATTTCTGTCTACCTTTGCTTTCTCTACTCAGAGCATGTCTTCAAAATTTTTCAAGGAAACCATCACTCTTTGTTTTTTGTCTTTCTAATCTCTAAAGTCACAGACCCTCTTTGCTGCAGGAGGCCTTGGAGATTATTTTCTCTGGATGTTTCCAATCTTGAGTCCCCAAATAGTCGACTTCCAGCTGTTTTCAATATTCAGAAATATCTAGTTAAATCACAGCACTGTTTGGTTTGTACAACTCAAATATAAAGTTAAACAATTATTATTTGATGAGTATAATTTGTCTAGTAGAGAGAAATCTTCACAAGATTTGGCTCATGGTGGGGTAAGTGTAGAAGAAAAAAGAATGACAAAGAAAAGTTTTTAGTGAAAACTCTCAGAAATAACACCAATTTGGGCTTGTGTGCTCTTTTATTGACGACTCAACTAATGTCCACTGGGAGGAAAAGTGAACATCGATTAAGGTTTACCGTGAATACAAATTAAGTTTAAGCTGTCCAACTATTCTTTCTAGAGAGTGGCAGAACAGTTATTCATGGAAAATTCATTGTTGCTTCCAATTGAATAGCACTGGCTATTATAAGTTTCTGTTTTTTTTGTAGTTTTTACCCTTTTGTTCAAGTTCTCTGGAGCTTCACACAATGGTTCTCATTGCTATTACAAGTGATGCCTTTCAGGGATGGGGATCTGAGAGTGATGGGCTCACTGTCAGGTATGCTAGCATCGGGAAAGAGGTTATGACTGTCTTCACACAGACAATAGCTGATAAGTCCATTGTTTTCCTTAACAAGGCCTATGAGGCATGTGCAGTGGCTCATGCCTCCCTGCTCTTTGGGAGGTTGAGATGGGAGGATTGCTTGAGCGCAGAAGTAGACCCCATCTCTAAAAAAGAAAAATTTAGTCAGGTGCGATGGTGTGTGCTAGTGGTCCCAGCTGCTTTGGAGGATGAGGCTGGGGGGAATTCCTCGAGCTCAGAAGGTTGAGGCTGTTGTAAGCCGTGTTTGTGCCTCTGCACTCCAGCCTGAATGATAGAGTGAGATCCTGTCTCAGAAAACTGAAAACAAACACACATACACACACAAACAACTCTCATGAGTTTCTCTGTCATTTGACGCTGTTTGCTGCTTCTGCCACATGTCTTAGAGCTTTGAATTACAGATATACTTAACTACTTGAACTTCTGCCTGTGTCCCGGGTTCCTCCTTTCTAGAATGTTCTCTGTCCTACTCTCTTCCCCAGATTCACTTCCTTTTGGAAGCTTTCTACCACATAAAATGACTGGATAAATTCCTCTAATACCTGCTTCCATTATACCTTGAGTATTTTCTGGTATATAATATTCAGTTATTATTAACCATTTATTTCTCTCTCTTCTTACTAGCACTATGTGTTCCTAGTGACCAGGGATGATATTTTACTCTCTTAGCTTCAAAGTCTAGTGCTTGACTGAGATACATGATGAGTTTCTAGTGAAATGAATGACTGGATAAATGAATGAATACATTTGCAATAACAAAATTTTAACCTCCTTGTCTTTTCCTTCATTCACATGGAGCTCTGCGTCACATTGCAAAAGCCCTTCCAGTGTCTTGTCCAAGCCCATGCATCAACTCGACTTGTATTCCTTCATTATCATGGCAATAAAAAGTAGGGAGTTTAGAAGGAAGAGAAATGGGATGAGGGAGGGAGGAACAGAGAGGAAGCAGCCAGGAAGAGATAGTCACATCAGAATAAAAAGGTTTATTTCATTGATGAGGAAACTGAGACTGAGAAAGGAATGTGACTTGTGTAAGTCACACAGGAGAGACCAGAACCTGGTTTTATGGCTGCCAACCCTGCGCCTTTCCACTGTGTCATGAATATTTCAGCAAAAGCATCTGCCACACGCAGATGAAAACATACTGGTTCATTTCCAAAGACAACAACCTCATTGTCAGGGTCATGGGTTGAAATATAAAGAATTATTCCTGATTTAAACACAGCCTCTCACTTGGAGCAATGACTTAGGCTAATTTTGCAGGCGGCATGTTTTCCTTTGAGATTTCTCACCGGATCTGTTCCCCATCTCCTAGATTGCATAAGGGTAATGATGAATTCCGTGACTAGATCCCAACTTCCTGAGACTCAAAATAATCACTGTTCTGTTTTCCACGGGAGATGAAGATATATATTAGGATTTTAACATGCTTTGAATATCCACTTTCAGAACAGGAGACATCCGCAGCAGGTGGGGCTTGCAAATGATATTTCTAATCAGATGTTCATCCAGAAAGTAATTAACTTTAGGAAAGTAAAGGCCCTAGAGGCTTCTGAAAAGATTTCCTTACTCTCAACTCTCCCTGAGCATTTCTTGATCTTTGCCTCCCCCCCCTGAGCTGCAGAGCCCAGAGGGAAGATGAGAAGCAAGTCCTGCTGATAAGGATGCAGATCACATTTGGGTGACTCAGAGCTGTGCGGTAAGAAGCCTTCCTTCCACCTGTCCTCTCACCACCCCAACCCCAGAGCCCTCAAGGTTGTATTTTCTCATGTTTGTGAATTGCTCAGAGCTCTGCCAGGCTTTTCAGTTTTATCTGGCCTTCTGCCTTGGCTGCCTTGCCTCTCCTTTTAGGAAATTCAAGGGAGGAGAAATGAATAATCTGTTTCTGAAGTCAGAGAGACAGGAGTCTCAGCCCTGGGTCGCCCCTTCCTACCTGGGTAGCTGTGGATGAGCTGCAGCCTCTTTCCGAGTCTCCATTTCTTACGGATGACCTGGGTTATGAGAGGACCATGGAGACGCCCCACCGAAAAAGTCCGAAGAAAGCACTCAGCTTGCTGCCTGCTTCCTAGAGGTTTCTCAGCAGAGTGTTCATATTATGCTCTAGCTCTATCCTGTCTCTTTGTGATGAAACCAAGTCTGGATAGAGTTTGGCTAGTGTGTTAGTTTCCTGGGGCAGCTGTAACAAAGTACTATAAAGTGGGCATCTTAAGACAACAAAAATGAAATGTCTCACAGTGCTCAAGACCAGAGGTCCTAAATCAAGGCATTGGCAGGGCCACGCTCCCTCTGAAACTTGTAGAAGAGCTTTTCCTTACCTCTTTTTAGCTTCTGGTGGTTTGCCAGCAATCTTTGGCATTCCTGGGCTTGCAGCTGCTTAACTCCAATCTCTGCTCTCGCTGTCACATGGAGATCTCCCCGTGTGTCTCTGTCTTCACATGGCCATCTTCTTATAAGGGCACTAGGCATGACCTTATCTTAACTTATTGTATCTGCAACAGCCCAATTTCCAAAAATGATTGCATCTGAGGTACTGGGGATTAGGACCGCATATTTTTATTGTGGGTGATGGGTACAGACACAATTTAACTTATACGAGGTAGATACTAAACTATATGCTAATATATTTCAGTCTATTTAGTCAGTGTAAAATACAAACTTCTATCTTGATTAGATGTCAGTTGGGAAATGTATAATTCATTTTACTTCATTCTTCTTTAGTCTACTTTTTAAGTCTTTCTCCTCCATTCCAAGCCTCCCAGCCATTATTTTCATTATCTAATCCACTATTTGCCCAGCAGTCAGTGTTCTCTCCCTAACATCTTCTCCTTTCTAGAACGATTGTCTGTCTAGAGCAGTCGTCTTTTTCTTCCTAGAGTGAAGGTCAAACTTACCTTCACACAAATTATCTTTCAGGACCTACCCCTCATTCACCTGTGGGGTGACTAACTGTCCCAGTTTGTCCTGGAATGCCCTGGTATTAGCATTAAAATGTTTGCACCCTGAGAAATCCTTCCGTCCTGGACAAGCTGGTTTTCACCCTGTTACTTTTCTACATGTTTTAGCTAAAGATACTCTCTGGCTACTACAGATTTAGCTTTGTTTTGCCACATGTGTGTTGTATTGGCATTAGCTGTTCGCTCATTGTGCTCTGCTGCTCAATTACATGTTTCTTAAGGGATTTAAATCCAGACAAATCTGGGTTTGAATTTCAACTCTTGTGGCCTTAATCAACGTATACATTATTGATGTCCATCAAAGTCAAAAGATGCAAAAGGGACATAAAACTATATATCCTTTGGTTGTAGTGAGGTTAAATTAGATATGATGAATAAACCACCTGGCAGAGTGCCTGACAGATACTAAGGTATTGCAGAAATGGTAGATGGTTTTTCACTGGTGAGTATGTGTGTATACTCTAGCACACCTGTGTTCAGTAAGTGCTTTTGAATGAAACTCAAAGCTCCAGAGCTCAAATCTCTTGAGCAATGATCTTTCTATCCTGTCATTTTCTTTCTCTGACTTAAAAATAAATCTATTCTTTCAGAGGCTAGTTTTACTAAAAATTTGGTTCAAAGCCTTGCCAAATAACGTAGGATATGACAGATGTATTTCCTATAGATATTTTACTACTGGAATTTTCCATGTGTCAATAATTTCCTACCCTCCAGTAGATTTTGATCTTGCCAGATTCCTTGCCTGGTCCATGAAGGGAAAACAGAAAATGGAAAGACCTTGAACTCCTTCTTGTACTCCAGCTCTCATGCACTCAAAATACAAACTCATTTAAAGTGAGCGTGGCATCGTCAGCTAAAAGTTGAGAGTAATTTAAAGGCTTTTCTTCTCTATCAGCTCCCCGAGCCCCTCCAAACAGAAACATTTTAAACTGATGCCTCTTGAGAGTTCTGTGTATGGGGTGTAGAGAATGAATGAGATTTCCTTCCACCCCAGAGGGGAACAGGAAAAATTCTGATTGTGGTCAACTGTCTTCAGCCTCTGGTTTTCCCTAAGATCCTCATTGTGGGGCCACTTGTTCTTTGTATCTAGTGGGTATTTGATGTCATGGTGAGATTAATAATTCACAGAGTCTGGGCAGTATTTTTCCACTGAGGGCTATGTGCAGACAAAAGCTGAGTGCTGGCAAAAGCCCGAGGGCTCCTGACAAGGTCGGATGCCTTGTGCTTCGGCAAGTGCTCAGGATGCCCAGTAACCCCTTCCTTGCTGAAAATGACACACAGAAAGGCAGGAATTTTTGAAGGACTTTTAGCTTTATTGGCTGGGATTAAAATAAGTTCAATTAAATAGACCTCTAGAGATGGCAAATGAACAACAACAACAGAGATAAAATGTAAATAAAATTTTAATTATCAGTTCCAAATAATAATTTAAGAGGGGTTATCAAATCATGCATCATTAATTGTTATAGATGATGAGAAGGTTAGTTAGGGGAATAGGAGGTGTGATCTATGACTCTTATTATTACTAGTGCTTATTTTGATTATTTCTAGCTACCACTTCTTTGAGTTCCAGGAATTCTGCATTGCATCTGATATCACCTCTGATTTTTACACTAATTCTTTGAAACAGACAACCTTATTCCCATCTAGAAAATACAAAAAACTGGCTGATACAGTCAACAAGGCATTTCAAAGGCCACAAAGGTGGCAAGAGGTGGAGCCAGTGTTTGATCCTAGAGTGATATAATCTTTGGATATATATCCCCACTTTCTATATGTGCTATATCACCTTCCAGTAATAATTAAAAATTAATGGTCATGAAAAAGGTTCTTAGCATTTTGCAGGGATATAAGAGTTTTGAAGCCACCTATATCCCTTTCTGCTTGCTTCTCATAGCAGCCCTGGGAGGAACAGGTTGGGGATGACTGCCTCCAACTGGCAAATGCAGAACTTGGAAGGAAGTTAAGTGATTCCCAACCCCACTAATTAGTGAGCAAGGTGCTCCTCGAACTCAAGACTTCTGACTCCACCACTAGAGCGTTGTATTTTGTGTTTCAGAGAACAGAAGCGCTTACATCAATGGTAGCTGCCATTTTTGGTTCCAAACTGAGCCAAAGGAGATGAGGCTGGAGACAGGTCTGAACTCAGTATTCTGTCTTTGCTGATCTCTAAATCTACTTTGCTAAGCCCATGTGGTTTCCTGGGCAAAAGGGCTCTTATCAAACTTCTAATGGCCATGATGAGGTCTGCCATCTTTTGTTCCTGTCCATTTTCAAACTCTGGTTATCCAGCCTCCTAGTGATACTATGATCTCAAAAACCTTTTTATAAATTCATTTTCTACTTTAATCCCCCAGAATCAGGTTCTGCTCTTCGTAGCTGAGAATTCTGACTGACACAACATTTCACCAGCACTGTATGCAAAGCAGCCACAGTGCTGCTGTGTAGACTGTCTTCAAGTAACCCTGGCTCCTACCCATTCCCTTTTCTTAAAACCATAGATTATGTGCACCGTACGTTCATACTTTTGCTAACCCATCATCTCCACTATGTTTTATTGAACAATTTCATGCAATTGCCTGATACATGATTCTTAGAACTCTTAAGGGGCTGGTTTTAGGTTCACTCCAGGAAGGAGAGGAAAGCCTAATGAATATGGAGAAGGAGAATGACAGTTGTAAAAGAACTTCAGCTGGTTGGGATTTCCCTAGCCAGTACACTGACTTTTTCTCCTTCCTTTTCTCTTGCTATTTTCCCCACCATCTACTGTCTCCTTCTTTTCTTTTTATTATCATTTTCTTTTTAACTTTCTCCAGTAGAAGAAAAATGAGGAATATTTGGATCTCCTGGAGTCCAAACATCAATTTGAGCCTCTTTTGCTATGAATGTGTTCTACATTATTTACCATGCTAATGCAAAATTACCTTGTTTAATCTTTGCAAGCCTTTAGAGGGCAAGATTATTATGTTCTTGTTACTGAGCAAGGAGAGGGAGTCTAAACTGAAGTTTGAGGCATAATGGGACTTGTTCTTAGCAGGGTGGCTCCTAAGCAACCCTCCCTTCTTTTCCATGAGGTTGCCAGCTTCAGTTAAGGGGCAGCACAACACAGGCATTAGGACAACAGACAAGGAAATACAAAGCTTTTGGGGTACTTGCTCTGCTACTTACCTACCAACCGTGTATCCTGAACAAGTTGCTCAAACTCTTCACATCATAGGCAACACCATGTGAGTGCAGGAATGGGAGTGTGGGAGTGTGCATGTTGGATACTCAGTGGAGGATAAATAGAATTAAGGCATTTTGTTTGAAATGTTTCTTTTGCCTTACATTCAGTTTGCTTCCCTACATCGTGCCTCTTGACATATCTCTGGAAGGCATGTGATCTAGCTTTCTTTACCAGCAAGCAAATGTCTGAGTCTGTGAGGGCTACTGCCACCAGATATATTCTCCTGGTCTCTTCACTTGGGAAAGATGTGCTGCCAGAGCACAGAGTCTTGTCTTTTTTTTTTTTTTTAAAGCTCAGTAAACTGATCACATTTACTACTTACTTATAATAAAATCAGATGGGGACTGGAGTAGAGCACATGTAATAGTAATTCTTAATTTTGCCTATAATTGATGAGGTCTGGGAAGTTAAGAGTCACATTTCTGCCCCAGGAAAATGATTGACTACATTGTCGGGCTTTCAAATAGATTGCTTGTGGCTCTAATGCATTGGGCACAGTCGGGATAAATTCTTGGTTCG